GGCTAACCTGATCGACAAAAGTCTTTTCTTCAAAGACTGCGTCCGGCTCTCGAGATGGTATTTCTGCCGCAGCTTTTTCATGAGGGCTATTCCGTGGACCACCAAATTTACCCGAGCCAACTTGGAAAACACAGACTTGCTGCATCGCCAGCTTTTTGCCGGTGCTGTCGTCATATGTGGTGACTGGAAATAAGAATGGGTTTGTGGTACTATCGTATCACATAAAATTACATAGAAACCCTCTGAAATCCGAATAACTGCAATTAACACCTTGACAACGATGTGACTCATATGTGGACCACACATTAAGCGCCTGCAAATAGTTGTGATTTACATGCGAGCCACGCTCATGCGATTCATTTTTTCACGCATGCACGACTTTCTTCTGATTTATTCTACGCTTTGTTCATAATTCACACGATTTTTCGCCATACATTTTTTGGCATTCTCCCATCAAATTCCACGCACATGAGGGGAGATGGCCGCGCTGGTCCCACAAGGCCAAAAAAGCCAAAAGCGCGTGTCATCAAGGCGTTGAACTCTACAAAGCCAAAGACATATGGACATTCAGTCACATTAGCACATCAAAGTAGTTTCTGCCAAAAAAATATTCTGAGGGTCACTTGATAAGGCCAAACCTTTGTGACTTATTCACCTTCTGTCAAGATCAGTGCTCCTGAACCCTTGTCAAGGATGTCGACAACGCGCGCCTCCGAGCGCAGTCTTGCTTCCGACGGCAATGGCTCATACACCTCAATGTATTGCTCTCCGTGAAGAATCCGTGCCAAGTCAAATTCGATGCCTAAATAATTGTCAGTGTTATTGACCAGTATTGATGTGGTTGCCAATAGCGCCACTTATTGAACGCAGATTTGAGGGACAAATCTTAGTCCGAATCCCGCCCAGGTTATCCCAAACTTTCATACGCCCACGGTCAATTAATTGGTACCAGCCTTGTTTGAAGAAAGAAACTCAAATAAGTGAAAAAAAACACTGGTCAGCAGAGTGTTGGAAGCAGGGTCAACCGCCCGTTTCGATAATGCGAGCAGGGATCGTATTTATGATTTTCGGTGGGGATCGTATTTAGGAATCATCACGGTCAACCGCCCCTTCCTCTAATTCGAGGGAGAGTCGTAGTTATGGAACATCAAGGGTAATCAACACCAACTGTTCTCATGCTTTTACTATGGTTTATCAAGAACAAATAATGCATGATTATAGGAGAGGAGAGCCGTGTGTAGCGGTGGATTTTTTTTACAATTTTTAGGCGTATTTCTGTAATTTCATGGGCGAACTTGCAGAATTTGCCCTTTACAGAAGCGGGTCTACAGAAGCTCAACCGGGCATTAAACTCTTAAAAAAATGGTTAAATGCGACAACAACCCTGCTCTAAATCATTTAATAGGAACCCGCATCCAAACTTCACTAACGAATCTAACAGTTGAGTAGAACCCTGGGCAATCCCAAACAGGTCAGCTTGCTACATACTATTTTTTTAGTATGATTTATTGACAATCGGAGCATAAAAATAGCATACCAACAGGCCCTGCCGGTTAACCACCGGGCAACGTCTGGATCGCCCGGTGAGGGTGCGCCGCAGCGGTTGCGGATGCGGTTTATTGCGGCTGCTCTTAAAACAAAGTTTCTGAGTGCGGTGACAGAGTCTTAATGCCATAAAATTAATCACCAGCTCACTCAATGACGAATAACAAAAACGAAGTCAACAAAATTCTCATTGCATGCTTACCTTGCACCTTCACCAATATGTATTGCATGCAAACCTTGTCCGATCCGCCTGCGAGCGGGACCGAAGTCACTTTTTCCCTCATTCCATCCATCACCCTACTGTTAAGCTTTGCTCTCCGTTTCAGGCCGTCAACCAATTTTGGATCCGAACTGTAGAAGTTTTGCAGTCGATACCCCCATTTTGAAGCACGCCCCGGGGATACCGCTTAGTTCACATAGTTTTCCACACCATTGTCCATGACCCACCATTTCCATTCGCCTCGGTTATTCTAAGCTTATACTTCAGCTGATTCCGGATTGTGTAAAGGACAAGCACACGCAGACAGTCTTAAAAGCATAATCCAGGATCAAAATGATGTCGTTCTTGCAGACGAATTTGGAAGTATTGGAGCGAAATGGGCCCAGATAAAAACAGGTTAAATTTTGGTTGCCTCAGTGATGCGACTGTGGTGAGGCACTGAAAGACTGAGCGTGGGATGGAGAGTATAAGGAGAAAGAGCGCAACAGACGAGAGGGCGCCAGACGACAAATCGATGACACTGCTTAGCTTGAGCTTTCTTTGCGAGGTCATAGCACCCCTCAGGGTGAAATCCATGCACGGGAATGCGACTTCTCTTATTTTCCTCTAGTGGCCTATCCTACAGACATAAAGGAATCGTTCTCATACCTTCTGCCTGGCTGCGCTTTTAGTGTTTAATGATAAAGGAGGATTGACCGCCCTAGCGTTAAATCATTTTTTCAGATTGCGCCACGCTTTGGAGCCCTATACAGTATTGTAATGGTATTCTGACTCATACACTGTCTTATGGTAACCATCTCATACACAACTTAGTGCTTACATCTTCCCACCCACCTAAGTCTTGCATCTTCTAATCAAATCCCGATGGAAGGAATACTGCTCGCTTGAGCGGAATCCGAATTGCGACTTATGACCATGCCTTTTCGCCACAGTTAGCTCTCATTTACTTGAGGCCATGTTGAAGATAAATGATCAATATATAGATCTAAAATGATACCTGGCCAATCCATGATGTTAGCGGCTTTGAGGCCTGGCGCTACTATGAAGGTAGGGAATGGCAGAAAGTCTTCAGCCATTTCGTAGACATAGCGAAGGTCAGTCTTCGCCTGAGCGCCAACTGAAAATCGCATTCATTACGAGGTGCTCCAGATCGCAACTAAGAATTATAAGAGCCGAGAAGGCGAGATATTTTCTAGTATCGATCCATTGCGGAACTCTTTAGGATTTTGTCTTTTTTTTAACAAGTAATCAATAATCTATCTGTTATTTTTATCAGTGTATGGTACCTTCTGTGCTCGAAAAGATTACTGATGAATCAGTTAAGGAAAAGCATTTCGTAAATGAAACGGCTTTCTATCATTCTTCTCCCAATCAATCAATAACTACGAATTGTGTAAACTCCATTTATCGGAAAAATATTCATCTGTCAAACCTCCTAAAGCATAGATGATAGCATCCCTCGATGTATACTCGAAATATTCCGGTGCGGGAATATGAGCTTTGGCAGCGGTCGATCCCTCCTGAACAGAATAGAAATAGCTGGAGTCGCGCACCTACATCTCCGAAATCTTTAGCGGAAAACTCGTCTTGATGTGCTCCTCATAAAGGAATAAGATTGCCCACACATTCCCCTTACGATTCGGAATCGTAGTAACATTTAGAATGCGATTCGGCCTATTCGGATGACCTGCGGAGGTCAGCCGATGTACGAGTCAGTTTTTATCCAGCTGAAGAAGCTTAGTACTAATCAAAGAAAGCAGAGGGATGGAATGCTTGGCTGCCTGAACGGCTTCCAGTCTAAGATTTGATCCCCGGATAGCGCGCGTGGTGGACTGCGCCACTTCCCACTACACCACTTCCGCCCCTGTTAATCCTCCATAGTACATTAATATGTAAAAAGCATCGTGGATTTGAGATCAATTAGATGTGAATCGACCGATCACTGGCAGGCCAAGTTACCGCAACGCGACCGCGCTGGCAGGAACGCCTTGTCCATTGGAAATAATTCAGAAGGACGCAAAATAATCCCATGCTATAAAATCATAACTATGTAGACGTAACGTGACGAGAAAAGAAGTATTATCAGAGTAGTGAACCGATCAAGTGAATAAATAAGTACCATTGTAATTTTTGCAAAAATTGCTTATTTTCGACAAGGTGTAAGGGCCCTGTTTCAACACAGTCGGCTAAGTAATGTGGTTGATAGATGATAACACAAGTTAATACAATTATACAAAAAATTTCGATCAATAGCTGGCGACTTTTAGCGATTAATTAATCGATCTCTGCCTCTACAGATAGTTCAGTGTTCACTTTGCACAGTGAAAGACTATGTCTGGAACACCCAAAAACACAAAACGATGGAACTCCGTGTTGGTAGCGTGGCGTTGTCGATAACGGAGCGCGCCATATCGACCGAAGTCTCTTATCAGCTACGCATACTACGGCTAGCCAGACACCCGGTCAGCGAACCGTATCGCATACCTAGGTATACAGTAGGGGGGGGGGGGGGGGGGGGTAGAGGACCCTCTGGAATGCAGTCTGCCAACACATCCCACTTCACCGAAGCATCTTGGCCTGATGGGATCCCCAGGCCCAAGACAAAGCCCCTACTGCCCTCGCTACGCACATTCGAGCTGCGAAAGCTACACGACCAGGGCGCCTACGGGCCAGAGTCAATCGTCGTTTAAACAGTTGGTTCAGTTGTAGATATGGTTTTGGAAGAGAAGGGGATGTTTTCGCCCAGCTGAGATTAACTATCTCTTCGGAATGTTCGAATTGGCCGTACTTGTGAAAATGGAGGGGCAGGAGGAAAGCCATTCTTACTGGGTGAGGTGACGGAAACTTTCAATCGGGTAGTTCGAGTCCAATCGATTCTGCCTCCGACTGTTGAAGTCCAAGTTATGCAATACAACTGAATGCACGCAGTATTTTGATCGGTCGGCGCGAAATGTATTGAAGGGGACGTGCTTGCCCGTCACTAAGGGTGCACGAGAATAGAGGGAAATTCGTTAGCCAGGGGAGTGTACCAGTTCAAGGGAGTGACAGTCACTGACATGCGTGGAAAGCTAATGTGTGAGTTACTCAATAGCTCTCGCCACTCATAGTATGTTCATCAGCCCCTCTTACAGTATCTCGCGCCTACCGTATTCAGAAATACGCCACCATCCCACTTGTATTGCACCCTAAGGTCAGTTTGAGGCTTATGCTTGCCTACTGACTTATGTTAGTGCAGAAAGAGGCTTGGACTTGTCTTACAATTTAGTCCTGCTAACGAACAGATCAGAAATGTTTCCAATTCGCGGTGACCAATCTGATCGAAAAAATCGAAATATGCACCCGTCAATAAGTGGACTCTTTGGCCACCCACCACCGCCGCCACCTCTCATTGTCGCCGTGCTGCTCCGACTGGCATGCGGTGAAGTTTCTTACCCTTTTGCCTCATAATTTCCATCAAGTCTTCTATTTATTCCCGCATTTACATAGGCCGTGACTTCTTTCACCATACTGGATTTTCTTTTTTTGATTTTATCAACAAGAATCCAATCTTACAACAGCTAAATAGAAAACTTTTCCTTGGATTTGATCTAGACCAACGTCGCTGTGACAATCCCCCCCCTCACCCCCACCTTTATTGGGCGTAGCCCAGGACGCTAAATGGGCGGATACAGTGAGTGTAAGAACATCGCTCCCAGTACGGGTAGGGCTATACAAGTGGGGTGGGCACGCCCAGCTTTTCACGTATGTCAAGTGACTGCTCTAACACCCTACCTCCTAGATTTGCTACACTCCCCCTGGCTCACGGATTCCACGATTGTCGTGATGGTATTGTAGCGGCCAACAGTTCCTCATCCCCCTCCCCTTCAAAAAGCCAGAAATTGTGCGGTGCAGACCATACACCACAAGTGACGACGGCCTCAAAGTAAATCTGGTTAGTAGTGGTTCATAGTGATAGCTGATTTTTAGTAAATGATAGTTGTAATTAGTGTCAACTGATCGAATACAACTGTAACAGGTTAATCATTTCATTGGCAAAAAACATTTGCATTTTCTGGAGGCCGTCGTCACTTGTGGTGTATGGTCTGCACCCGACACTTTCTGGCTTTTTGAAGGGGAGGTACATACATATCTGTTGGAAAAATGCGACGTGCCCACCCTACTTGTATAGTACCCAGTGGTAGCTTTATGAAGGGACAGAGTCAAGCGAGGCGTCAGGAAAATTTTGGAATACTACCATCCTCCCCCACCAGCCAATCTTCCACCACCTACCCAAGTCCATGAAACGACCTCCTCACCACCGAGATATGAAGGAATTTTTAACCTCCCGAAAACTTAAGATCAACAGAAGAAACCCTGCTGTTCCAGCCACACTTAGGAATCGTTCAACGATATATAAAACAAACAAAACATTAGTGAACCCTTGAACAAACGGAGCCCCGAAACGAGAAATAGTTGTGGAAATAGCATACTGATGACTTAGCCATCCCTCTCCCTATTTCCTTGAAAGGCGTAGCAACGTCTTAGTACACAACAGAAACATCCTCTCAATCTTCACATTCCGCCCTACCAACTAGGATGATTCCCTCACTCCTGTCCCAACCCTGCGGATATAATCTCAACCGATGATACCGGTCCTCCACCCCAACTAGGGATGAATCCGCCTCACTGAGCCGCGTCGGATATATCCCAATCTCGGGGACATCTCTCAAGACAAGAGACGCTCAAGGGTCTCGTCACTACCATAGGACCCATCATTTTTGATGGATCCTATGACGGAATGGTCACTGCCGTTGACCCTCTGCGTCTCTGCCGGCAGGGGTATATATCCCCCTAGTCGAGACTGAGAGCAGGGTGAATAACGGTCGAGGAATTCCTCGACCATGGCTCTCTACCGTGCGAGAGTAGTGTCGAGAGTGAATGAATGCGCGGAGAGCACAGACGGCTCGCAGGTGGCGAGAGTGAGCATCCGCGTGGGAGAGCGTGAAAGAATCCTCGACGAGCCGTTGTCTTTTCCTCAAGCGATTTTCACCCTGCTGAGAAGATTTGCCGCCGACGATGGCGACGCGGAGAATCGACAACAGTGACCGTTCCGCATGGTCGCATGGTCATCAAAAAATGACGGGTCCCATGACGAGACTTTTGAGCAGTCTTGCTGAATGTCTGGTGAGGAGATTCATCCCCTAGCTGGGGTGAGGGGATATGTCCCCGAGATTGGGGATATCTCCCCGAGGTTGGGGACAGGGGTGAGGGGATTCATCCCCTAGGTGGGTGGTTGGGGCTTGCTGCGCCCGGCCCAGCTGTGTGTGTTGAATGGACTTTGGCGTTGACCGTGGAGCAGCTTATTTACTATTGAAATTTGAACAAATATTCAAATGATTATAACTTTCTTCAAATATGACGAATTTTCAATCTGAAAGCAGATTTGGAGTTTTGTGAAGAGCTCTTTCTAATCAGTATTGAAATTACAAAAAGTTATAAGAAATAACAAATTTAGATCAATTAACGAGGAAAATTCGAGATGAGCACGAGTTTTTACACTTTCCGAAGCCATAACTTGCTTCATTTTCGTCAAATCTGAAAAGTTAATATGTCATACAAAACTAGAAGATTTTCTCTATTCAACGGTTCCTAGGACTGCTCAATACGTCATAGATTTTTGCTCGAGTACCTCCGAAAGGTACTTTTCTCTGCAATGACTTTCTTCCAACAACAGTAGCTCCTTTCAGAAGCGACTATGTAGAAAAGTGGGAGCTGATTCGGAATTTACTGCTTTTCCTTTCCAAGGAAGAAAAAATTGTTAA